CAATTCTTCTTGTGAACTGGATTTATGCATACCCGACTTGATCTGCATCTTTCGTCAATAGTTTCCTTTCTGGATCAAGCATTAGCCGGTGTGATGGTCGAAAGCCGTACTACTTCACCAACTCGGGATTTCTACCATGTAGGTCCCCTGCTCGTAGATCCTATCAAGATTTATTCATATAATGTTACATCTCACCAAATGCCTCGTCACACTTCCAATATCTGAATGATATTAGTGCAACGTGATTTACAGGGTTACAACCCCAAAAACAGACAAGGTTTACCATAAGTTGAGTATAAAGGTCTAGGTAATTATTCAAATTTGTCGACAGTGGGATTTGAACTCCAGACCTCTTGCATAGCGGTCTGGCAACCTAACCATACACTAAGATCGCCAGACCTTGACATATTGGTTTATTTAGCTTGCTTTTATATATTTGTATAATATGAAATAATCTGCATTATAGAATATTCTTAATTCATACTTTTTTCTTAAAAATTTTCTTTTATAGTATGTTTTTAGTCTAATTTTTCTCTAAAAACCTCTATTTTTCTTTAATTTTTTGTTTTTTACCTTCTTTATATATATTTTTTAGTTTTCTTTTTCTTTAGTTAGTAGTTTTCATATTGTTTTTTTTGTAAAATTTTAGCATTTTTTAAACTTTTTCTTTTGTTTCAAAAATAGTTAAAGTAATTAATAGAGAGAGTTTTATTTTATAAGTTTATTTTTTTTTTTTTTATTTTTAAGGTAGGTTATATTGCTAAGTGAATTTTATTAGTTTGATATATAAGATTCTACATAGAGTTCCTCTACAGTTTGTAATTACATGAAGAGTATACAACAAGTCACATGTACAACTTTAGTTATTGTCTAATTTAAGTAGTCTGCTATGTAGACATTAGACTATCTGTTAGTACTATACTATGCTACTATATCTGTAACCTATTTGTGAGTTACCTATTTAAATACTCTGTTCAACTAACCTATACTATTACAAACTAATATCACTATAACATTTAACTACTTAAGTCAGTTTGTTTGTTATAGATCTATTTATTGACTTCAGCTTAGGTCTTCTCAGAATGTTTATACTTAATATATTATAAGTTTTGCAGAGCTTTAGTTAACTTCGAAGCAAATTTACTAAAATAACTTATGTCCATTTTATGAACTTATCAAGCTTAGACCCTTGTAGATATTCATACAACTCTAGTTTCTACTGTAGCTCTCCACTAGTTTTGTGTTAATTGATTTCTCTAGATGTTTTATGAGGTAGATCTTCCCAAATCTAGTTAGCCACTAAGCCAAGTTGGTGCTATCAATCTTTACTACAAATATAGACTTACTTATACCTATCCTAATCTACATCCTTTGAAGCAGTTTCTTTTTAAATCAAGCATTAGCTAGTATGACTGTTGAAGGCTATACTACTTCACCAACTCAGGATTTCTACCATGCAGGTCTCCTGCCTATATATCCAATGCAGATTTATTCATATAATATTACTGTCACACTTCTAATATCTAATTGACTTGGTGCAATACTATTTTTTACAGAGTTTTGTCATATCCCAGGACTCTCTTTTCAGAAACAGGTAGAGTTTTCTGTAAGTTTGATACATAGGTCTAGGTATTATTCAAATTTGTTGACAGTAGGATTTGAACCCCAGACCTATTGCATAGCAGTTCAATAATCTGACTACTATACTAGGTCGCCAAACCTTCATTTTATAAGTTTATTTAAATTAAACTTTTATAATATTTATATAATTCTAATTATAATCTTTTATATTCTTACTAGTATTTTGTATTCTCTGAATAGTCAGATTTTTTTAAAATTAGTTTGCTATCTAGCTAGATTTGTAGTACTAATTAGCAGATTAGACTACTTATACTCTTGTATTTGAGTTTTTTTTTTAGATTTTAGATTTTACTAATATAACTATTAAAGATTATACTATCTTATTTACTCAGAATTTCTATTATATAAATCTTCTGCTCATAGAACTTATTAAGATTTATTCATATAATATTATATCATATTTTCAATATTTATCAATTTGGTATAACTTGATTTATAGAATTATAACTTCAAAAACAAACAGAATTTACTAAAAATTAAATATAAAAATTTAAATAATTATTCAAATTTATTGATAATAAGATTTGAACTTCAGATTTTGTATAGTAATCTAGTAATATAACTACTATATTAAGGTTATCAAACTTCTAATATCTTTTTTTCTATATATTTAAACTAGTTTAATTTATATTCTTTTTCTTTAATATTTCTGATAATTTTTAAATATTGCTATATTAGAAGAGTATTATCTTTTCTTATAACTAACTGCTTAAATACAAAAATATTCATATTATTATTTTCTAAATACTTGTTTATCTCTTTTGCTCAAGTATACTTATGATACAAATATCTAATATTTTTATTTTATATACTAAGTTATACTTAAGTTTTATATATTTTATTTTACTATTATTGTATAGAATATTGTCTATATATATCTACTCTAATTTTACTTCTTTCATTCTTAATCTTATAGTAGTTAGTACTTTATTAAATTAATAAATTTGTTAATTAATAATAAATTATATAATAAAATAACTTATAACAAAATCTATAACTTTTTGAATAATTTTTTATTATAATATAAATTAATCAAAAAATATTTGTATTATATAACATACTTTGAACTATGCTAGCAAATAATTTAAACTAGAAATAATTTATTAGAAGTTAGCAAAAATATGCTAGAAAAGTAAATAATAACTGAATTAGTTAGAATAACAAAAACATTCTGTAAAAAAGCAAATATAGTTTGTAATAGAAATCAGATAAGTAATGTTATCTAGCAATCTTATATGATTATAAAATTATTTCTTTCTTATTATTTTTTTGTTATGATATAAATAATGTTAATGATTATAAATTGCCAGATAATGCCAATACTAAACAAATTGTCAAATACAGTAAATGATTAGCAAATATGTTTGCTGCAAGCAGTACGTGCTCATTTGCTAAATTACTATTATTCTACAATTTTGTATACTTATTTTAAAGTTTTTAAATTAAACGTTTTATATGTATTTATGTGGTATGTTGTTATTTTTTGAAATATGATTTTATAGAAGGATGATATATATGCAAATATATTTTATTTTTATTATATATTGTGATAGCGATTATATTCTATTTGTGATTATATAAAGGTATTTTTATATAAAAAATTTTTGATTCAAAAATTTGTGTGATAATATAGGAGTTGCGATTATAAAGGAGGTGATTGTAGAGGAGGAAGACTGTAATTCTGAAACCCTCTATTTAAATAAGTTATCAAATAGTTAAAAAGCTTGGAAATAAAATTCATCTTTTAGATTTTCAAAGAAAAAACCCAAGTAGTAATAGAATTAGCTGGATGTATATAAGTTAGGATGCCATTGGTGATATTTTGTTCGATTTGTAGTTGAGTAAGTGTTTCATTATTGTTGGATGTACGGAAGGCAGTAAAGGAACTAATATTAAATAAGGAAACATCCAAATTCCAAATTTCATCATCTGTATCCTTATTTGTGCAAACTAAAACAAATGTTTGATTGTCAGCACTGTATGCTGCAAGGGTATCACTGTCGTTAGAAGCAATGATTTGATATCCTAAAGAAAATTTTTTATTTTAATAGGTTGTAAGAAATTTAAAAGTACATAAAAATGTCTATACCTCGGCGAATGAATTTAGTGTATTGTGCAAATCCATAGAATCCTAAATGTATATTCAGAATACTTGAATTATAATAATTTACACCAATTAAGCCCCAACCATAAGAGTTAATGGAATCCTATTAAATATATAAAACTTGAATTAGATTAATACTTTTATATACATAGAAGAATGGAATAAAATATCCTACTTCTTCAACTGCTTGCCAATAAACCCATGCAACAGGCTTTTCAAACAATTATTAATTAAGTGTTATCAGAAACAAAATATTATTTCATCAATATTTATGTCTTCCTCACCTGCAAATTTCTCATATCGTTCAGAATTTTTTCAGAAAGCTGGATACTTGCAGACATATCTTGTGATGCTGATAATCCACTATTTTGCCATTAAACAGAAAAAAATTGAGCTTGATTCTAAAATACTTATAAAAATGACTTATGTAACGAATATTGCGTACACTTCGCTCATCCAAAGCCTTTTTCCATCTTGTTTTGAAAGAGCATTAAGTAGTGTTCTTTCAGTTCCATCATAAGCATGAGTATTATACTGGCTGACATATAATTTAGCATCAGGGTCAATACATCCTCTGACATAAACTTCTAAATCAATTGTATTTTCGTCTGCAGCTGAAATGGATGTCTGATTTGAGAGACCTTTGTTTTTGAGATTAATTCCGACCTGAACAAAAGTTATATTTAATAAATCGATATTTTCTTGTTATCTGGTATGGTAACGGATGCATGATTATTAGCAAGATAATAGCAAAAACACTGTGACCAAAGGTCAAATGCGTTGTTATCGTTATTATTCAGTCAGAGGTATATAATTGCAGAAAAATATATTGTTTTTTCTAATTTTATAAAGATTACCTTCTTAATAATAGTATTTATTGTAGAACAACTAAAATAACATCCTTCTTGTGATCCTGTTTGAATAGATAATGTGTTATGTACCGGTATTTAGAAATTTCATTTTAGAGAATTCAAAAATTGTACCATTTGCACACCAAAAGTTACTTGATGGTTCATTAAATGGTTCTAGAGTTCGGAAAATAAGTCCTTGTTTTCCATACCAATCCACAACATTGGTCAGGTAATCGGCATATGCATCGTAGTAAGATTTATTGAGGTTATTCGAGTCGCAATTAACAGATCCAGAAGAACAACCACTACAAAAAATCAGAGATTCAACTCAATTTTTTTTAAAAAAATACACCTTTCATTTATCTACAACACTATTTTATTTAATAACTTACCTATAGGTCATCCAATATGGAGGGCTGAAAAGAGCTAAGGTATTAGTAAATTTTTTTTAAAAAAAATACTTTATAACCTTACATACCTATTAGAAAATGCCTCAAAGATATCAGCACCACGTATTTTCGCAGCTTATGAATATTGTACGTACGTACGATAATCGTGTTAAAAGTGTTGTACAAGTTAATAATCTTTTTTACAGTACTTATTTCATACCAAATAAAATCCATCTTTGATTTTTATCAGCGGTCCAATTATAACGACAGTTTTGGCACGGCAAAAAACCAGGTATGGCACCTCCGGGCCTTAGGTGATGATGACTTGGGTTATCTCCTCCTCCAATATTATATCGAATAACATTTAATCCCAATCCCTAATTAAATTACATTAGTGATCTATATAACATACACTCGAATTGTGAAAGGTCAAATCCAAATAAGCATTACATTATTCTATCCTATTTTATGAACTTTATTTTTGAGCTTCTGTTTGTCTGGATTTTGACTTCTAATAGCAGTTTATAAATTTGCCAAAAAATAAAGCATAAAAACCTTATCAACGTCAAATACTAAATCGGCAATATGGTTTCTAACAATATTAGGAAATCCACCGATTACATTTGCCCACCAACATAAACTCGTTCCCCATCCTTCAATTACTTGCCAGCGCTCGTTTGGATTAATTAATACAGTTCTATTTGCATTGGTAATAGATAAAAAAATGCTGAAGTTAGGAGTACTCGTGTAATAAAACCAGATGCTATTTTTAAAAAATTTTATATTAGAATAGAATTTTAATTGATTTTGAATTTTTATTTTGTGGTTAGAATCATAGTTATTGTTATTACCTTCCATCTTATATTTATTAGTTTATAACTAATTTTAACCAGAGGTGATTTCACCTAGATGATATTACCTGCTATTAATTAATTTTTCTATATTATAAAATTTTTAAATAAATAAATAAAATAAACTTTTAGAAGTTAGGGTTAGGGTTAGGTTCGAATTCGTATTAGGGTTAGGGTTAGAGGTTTTATATATGCAAAATTACATGCTAAAAACTTTTACTTAATAATCCAAA